AGTAGGAAAGGGAGAGAGAGAGAGAGATGGATGAAAGGGGGGATGGATAAAAGGGGGAGAGAGATGGATAAAAGGGGTGGGAGAGAGAAATGGATAAAAAGGGAAAGAGTGAGAGAAAGAGATAGACGGACAATAAACAGATAGACACACAGACAGATAGATAGATAGATAGATAGGAGGGAGAGAAAAGGAGAGACAGACAGACTAGAGACAATGGCAGTAGGAAAGGGAGAGAGAGAGAGAGATGGATGAAAGGGGGGATGGATAAAAGGGGGAGAGAGATGGATAAAAGGGGTGGGAGAGAGAAATGGAAAGAGTGAGAGAAAGAGATAGACGGACAATAAACAGATAGACACACAGACAGATAGATAGATAGATAGATAGATAGATAGATAGATAGATAAATAGATAGATAGATAGGAGGGAGAGAAAAGGAGAGACAGACAGACAAACAAACAGGCAGACAATTAGAGAGGCAGAAAAGATCCCAAAAGAAGCCTAAAAACAATAAGGGCGAGAGAGAGAGAGAAAGAGGGAGAGAGAGAGAGAAGAGCGATATAAATATATATATATATATATATATATATATATATATATATATATATATATATATAGAGAGAGAGAGAGAGAGAGAGAGAGAGAGAGAGAGAGAGAGAGAGAGAGAGAGAGAGAGAGAGAGAGAGAGAGTGAAGATATATATATATATAGATATATATATATATATATATATATATATAGAGAGAGAGAGAGAGAGAGAGAGAGAGAGAGAGAGAGAGAGAGAGAGAGAGAGAGAGAGAGAGAGAGAGAGAGAGAAGAGATAGATAGATAGATAGATAAAGAGAGAGAGAGACAAGATATATATATATATATAGATAGAGAGAGAGAGAGAGAGAGAGAGAGAGAGAGAGAGAGAAAGATAGATAGATAGATAGATAGAGAGAGAGAGAGATAGAGAGAGAGAGAGAAGAGAGAAAGAGCTATAACACCATGCATATATGATGCTCTTTTTTTTCATACCATTTCATTAGGACTTAAGTGCTTCATGTCTTGAGGATCCTTCTTTTTTTTGTTTTGTTTTTTTGCTCCTGGTGTTCGTCTCCTTTGTCTCCTCTTGGGTCTTCCTGCTGCCAAATGGACTTCGAGGGACACATTGTCTAAGGATGTCATGGGGTATATGCCCGTTTCCAGGGGGGGGGGAGGAGGAGGAGGAGGAGGTGGAAAGGGGGTGGGAAGGGGAAGATGAAGAGGAGGAGGAGGAGGAGGAAAGGGGGTGGGAAAGGGAAGATGAAGAGGAGGAGGAGGAGGAGGAAAGGGGGTGGGAAGGTGAAGATGGAGAGGAGGAGGAGGAGGAGGAAAAGGGGTGGGAAGGTGAAGATGAAGAGGAGGAGGAGGAGGAGGAAAGGGGGTGGGAAAGGGAAGATGAAGAGGAGGAGGAGGAGGAGGAAAGGGGGTGGGAAAGGGAAGATGAAGAGGAGGAGGAGGAGGAGGAGAGGGGGTGGGAAATGGAGGACGAAGAGGAGGAGGAGGAGAGGGGGTGGGAAAGGGAAGATGAAGAGGAGGAGAAGGAGGAGGAAAGGGGGTGGGAAAGGGAAGATGGAGAGGAGGAGGAGGAGGAGGAAAGGGGGTGGGAAAGGGAAGATGAAGAAGAGGAGGAGGAGAAGGACGTAAGGGAGGAGAAGGAGATGAAGGTGGAAAAGGAGAGGGGAAGGGAAGAGGAGGAGAATGTAAAGGTGGAAAGTTAAGAGGAGGAAGTAAAAGAGGAAAAGGAGGAAGAAGTGAAGGTGGAAAGAGGGGGGGGAGGAGGTGAAGGTGGAATGAGAAAATGAGGAGGTAAAGATAAAAAGGGAGAAGGAGAGAGTGAAGGAGGAAAGGGAGGAGGAGAAAGTGAAGGAGGAAAGAGAGGAGAAGAAAGTGAGGGAGGAAAGGGAGGAGGAGAAAGTGAGGGAGGAAAGGGAGGAGGAGAGAGTGAAGGAGGAAAGGGAGAAGATGAAGATGGAAAAGGAGGATGAAGATAAGGAAGAGGAAAACCAACACGAAAAGAGAATAACACAGTACCTTAGAACGTCACGGGATATAAGCCTGTTTCAAGGAGGAGAGAGGAGGGCGAGGAAGAAGAAGAGTAAGTGAAGACATACACGGAGGGCGAAGATGGGGTAAGAGCAAGACCAAGAAGAAAGAGGAAGAGGAGGAGAGGTCAAAGACTTAAAAATGGACTTCATCGCCTAAGGGTGTCAAGGAGTATAGGCCTGGGGAGTGGAGGAGGAGAAGGAGGAGAGAGAAAGAGGGGAAGAAGAGAAAACGTAAGAGGATGAGGGGATGGAGAGAAAAAAAAAAGAGAATGAGAGAGAGATATAAAGACGACGACATAGACTGGATTTGGATGAGCGCATTTTCTACGGATGGTATAGGTATTTAAAAAGGGAGATAAGAGGGAGAAAGGAAGGAGAGGAATGGAGGAGAAAGAGGTCAAGGGAATAGGAATGAGGAGATGAAAGGGGAGTGAAAGGAGGAAGGAGGAAGAGGAAAGGGAAGAGGAGATTTAAGAAAGAAGAGGTACAGGAGAAGTGGAAGTAAGACTAGGGGAAGGGAGGAAGAATAGCAAAGGAGGAAGAGAAAGAGGAA